AGAAGTTAATGACTAAAAGTTAATGACTGAAAGGAGAACATGTAGCAAGAGTATAATCACTACAATATCAATATCTTTTCCACTACACTAAAGATCGGAAAAAATTATTGTACTATTGTACCAATGTGGTTCCTTTTGTCCCATCCTCCCACCCACTCTATGCTGCAGGCGCTACTCTACTGTTGTAGAATCAAGTGGCCTTCATACAACTTTGGCATTAAAGATATTCCAATTTCACCCTCAAACATATGTATTTATCATCTATATAAAGAGGTATTGGAAGTTTGGAAAACTCATGATTGAACAGAACACATACGTGAAGAAATAAGAGAAATAAAAACTAGTGTTTTCACACTAAGAAAACTATCACGTTCATACACTTAGACCATTTTCTTGAATATATTTATTAAGTGTAATGTATGTTTTTAAACTTGTGTATCTACTTATTTTAGAAGCATTTTGTAAACATAATCTTGTATTATTAACCTTTGGTTAAATAGTTTGAGAAACTAGGTTATAGTCAGGATTCTCAATAAGTCTTTGACATGTTGTCATTGAGATTTATAATCAAGTATTTGATTAGTGGATTAAGTCCTTATTAAGAAGGAAAAGTCACTCTGGAGGGTGGACTGAACGTAGCTTAGTTAATAGAGAGTCAGTATAAAAATAACAATGTCTTTTATCTTAGTTGAATATTTGTTGGTTATGTTCTTGGGTTGCAAAAAAGTTTTAATCTAGAAATCTAATTCAAACCCAACTTTCTTATGTTTCTTGAAACTTCAAAACACTCCTAAGAGACGCCATTATTCAGTACAATTAAAAAAACTCTGAAGGGATAAAGAAGTACAAATGTCCCTAAAAGGGGTAACGAACTATTAAACTAGGAAACCAATGTACAAGTAGCTAGGTGTCATTCATTAATTGACCATTCTGAAATACCTGAAAGGGGTTCATTGGGCTCAAATCCATATGGGGATAAAGAAATACGATATGTCTATTGCCCTCTCAAAATGATGGACGGAGGTCGCCACAACTTCATCCTTGAGCAGCGAGACATTATCTACTAATTATCTAAAGTGTTTCCCGCCCTCTTAAGGGATTACTTCAAACGCTCTGCCTCATTAAGCTGCGCGACACCCGTAATATCCAATTCTCGGGTAAGTGCCTTAATGGTGTCTCGTCTTTCCTTTAACAACCTTATTGTCGCCCTACTTTTATGAAACTTCCTGTTTGTATGGGCCACCCAGAACTGTAGTTCTTGGACAATGCATACATTTTTCTCTTTGCGCTTTCTCCATCAATAAGCGCCTCAAAAGTTAGATCTCCGACATATCAGAAAGCTTGGTGAAGGACATGTCAAGGAGTGACTGATAGTCACCTAGAAAATTCACATGGAAAGAGAAATGGCGGTCATAAAACTCCATTACATTAAAGGCATTTTTCCATACGGAAGGCTCACAATGGGCATGTTCATCTCTTTCCTTCTCCTCCCTTTGTTACCCTTTGTGGATCACAAAGGATCTAGAGGGGTTCACTCCCTTTGTGGTGCCTAAGAACGGGCGAGCCTCATCAACCCTTGACGTTTCACACTACCTAACCTCTATATCTCGAGGAAGGGACGACGACTGTTGTGCCCGTTACTGAGCCATTTACATTCTCTCTAAACTTTCTCTTTTCTCATCAAGCGAGATATTCACCATGTCCAATGCAAATAAAATAGTGATCTTATGGCATACAAATTAATATATGCGGGAGCATGTCAAAATGGTATTATTTTCATACCTAAGTACGAACCCATTATGTCGCCATCCTCATGATCTTGAATGATGAGGACACTAGATTATATAGGAAAGAATCACGTCAGTGTCTAGATTACTTCATGATTGAGGGGTGAAATACCACATAGACCCACCTTTTGGGTAAGCTGTGGGTGCGACGTCTAAGACATGGTAAAGAGAGGGCCACCCTTTCCCTCACACTGGCCAGAGAAACATCGCCTTGTCCTCTCACCAGCACGGACTTGTCTTTCAAATCCCTATATGCGTTTGCAAAGGGTTTCAGCAGACACCTTCTGACAAAAGGGTGCAACATCACCCAATTGTCAGTATGAATCTCCATTCAAAAAAATAATAATAAAGGAATGACCTAACAACGGGAGACAAACCCAGGCTATAACAAATTATTTGAAAGGCTCTAAGTGAGCCCCACACATTTTGGGTAATCTGAGAAAAGGACAATGTTAATTATTATAAAAAACTCCATTTTGAAAATTGTAAACATAATCAAAACCCTCAGCTCATAAATGATGGGAAGATAGATGTAAAAGTAAGGAGGAAACGATTTTCCAGAAGTATCCATATTGGCCATTTCCTCATTGGAATAAGGTTCCATAATCACATCTCTCTCTCGAACCATAATGGAAAATCTAATGTCATGACAAAACTTATAGATTCTATCTACAATAAAATACATGGATGCAATATCTCGAACATGAATAATTTTTTTTTCTTTCCCATGATCGTTGGGGATAGAAGAGGAAGGAAGAAGAAACATTCCCCGAGTGCGTTTCTAGAAAAAGAAAGAAGAAGAAAAAAGGGTTTCCGAATAATATAGGGGAAACCCAATGGTATAAGTCATGCAATCACAGAATCGTTTAACTACCACGAAAAGTGGGAAAGTCCCCACACCTTGATGAAACATGTAAAAAATAAAGAGCGATGATTCTCCTAAAAAACACCACCACGAGGTGCATTAAATGTCCTCGTGCTTTTTTTCACACCAAAACACTAAAGCTTTCAGTTAGATTGACGTTTTGACGTCTTGGGGTCTAACCTAAAATAAGGTGAATCCATCTAGTTTATTCACCAAAAGGTGAGTTGCCTTTAACTGAGGGACTTGTCTGTAAACACACTTGCCTTAGGCTGAGGGACTCAATTATTTTTAAGGAGTGTCGTCAACCCAGTGACTCATTACTGGGGCGAGGGATGCATCCGGAACGAATATAGTGTTTTAAAAACACTTCATCCTTAACTAAGCCCTCATGATTAAGGGACTATGTTGAGTTGTATTTACTGAGGTCGTATTTTAAGGTGTTTTTGCCCAAAAACTTGTGCCACCCAGGTATGTAAGGGTGTCAGTCAAAGGAGAGAGAATCCTCCACTACCCTTGAAAGGTAGGTGGACAATAAATTCTCTTGATTACGAGGGTCTCATGTCACTCATGGTGCGAGCGAAACTTCAGAACTTAAAGTATGTGAAACAATAAGAAGATCAAGACAAAAGTGAAGAAAAGACTTCATATATTCCTACACGGTAACAATTGTTAAGTATAACAAGTGTGAGTAGTATGAGTAATAGTCCCACATTGGCTAGAAGTGTGAAGACTTGAACATTTATAAGTGGGAGAACCCATACACATATCACCTTACCTTAAGGTTTTTGGGGAATATGTCATGTGTCTCTCACAAAGGTGTTGCTCAAGAAAAGAAGTCCCATAATGTTCAATGCTCCCTAGTGAAAATCTCCCATAACAATGGTATCATGAGTCTTTGGTTCAAGTGAAAGACCGACTTACTTGTATCCGACGGTACAAGTGTATGTGGATGAAGCTTCCATGAATTGAGTGTCCCGTTGAAGAGTGTCAACGACAATCTCCCATAACAATGGTATCATGAGTCTTTGGTTCAAGTGAAAGACCGACTTACTTGTATCCCTGCAGGCGGTGAATTGAGTGTCCCGTTGAAGAGTGTCAACGACGGTACAAGTGTATGTGGATGAAGCTTCTATGAATTGAGTGTCCCGTTGAAGAGTGTCAACGACGGTACAAGTGTATGTGGATGAAGCTTCCACTTAAGGGGGAGCATTGTGGATAGACTCACAGGCGGTGTATGTGGATGAAGCTTCCACTTAAGGGGGAGCATTGTGGATAGACTCACACTCGAGTGAAGACTCACAATCGAGGGAAAGTGTTAAGTATAACAAGTGTGAGTAGTATGGGTAATAATAATAATTCCACATTGGCTAGAAGTGTGAAGACATGAGCATTTATAAGTGGGATAACCCATACACCTATCACCTTACCTTAAGGTTTTGGGTGAATATGTGGTGTGTCTCTCACAAAGGTGTTGCTTAAGAAAAGAAGTCCCACAACGTTCACTGCTCCATAGTGAAAATCTCCCCTCCCCTAACAATGGTATCATGTGAAAAGAAAGTGCATGTCAGACCAAATTGTCAAGACAAATAAGAGTCCTAACAAATTTAAGAAGGCTAAAAAAAAGGCAATAAAGCTTACATCACGTGGAAGGATAATGACATGTAGTCATCAAATGATGAAGAAATCAACGTCAATTTTATAGAAAATCATTAAGATAATGAGGTAACCTCTTACTTTTCATATCAAAATCTTTTATGCATTTGTAAGAAGCTAACAAAAGAAAGGAGTAAATTAGAATAAATTGTCTCTATTTTCAAAGACACTGTTTTTTCATTCAATCTAAAAATAAAAATCCTTTGAAAAAAATAAAAAATATTAAGACGAGACATGTGATCTAGTTCAAAACTCTTTTCCTTATAACAAAAAAGTATATGAATTTGATAAGTGTGATAAATGTGATCCTTTAAAAAAGAAATTTGTGATATTAAAAAAATACTCAATAAATTTATTAAAAAAGAGACAAAGTTAAAGAACCAAAAAGTTTTTTATAATGGAACCAATCTCGACTATATACCTAAGAATAATAATAAGAGCTTTAATAATATTTGTGATGCAAAATTTCCATTTGATTGCAAAATCTTAAAATGTATTACTAATAACAAAGAAATTCATATCGGACCAAAAACGCATTTTATCCAACGTCTATGATAATTTTCTAGTAATCAATTTTTTGCAAAATGAGTAGTACCATTTTTATCGGCACTTATATAATGACGCTTTACATACTTTCCCGCCACACAAGACTCCATTTCACAATTTCATAGTTCATTTTGTTTTCACAGAAGAAAATGGCTTCCGCATCCTCCAAAACCCTAACCGATTTTTTCAACCGAGCTCCCAAACGCATGAAACCCACTCTCACCACTATCTGCAAATCCGAAGATAACACCAATGCCTCCTCCACCCTCTCAGTCGACCAAAAATCGCGCATCGAATACAATAAGAGCCTCGCTCTCTCCAAAAGAAACCTCAAAATCTGCACCGAAAGGGTTTCCAAACACAAAGGTATGTTCATTTGTTAATGCACGTAGCTTAGATATAATATAAATTAACTATTCTTTTGTTTCTAATGCTATTGTTTAACAGAATCTTTAGTTGCGGGATGCGTGAAACTAGAAGAGTTGCTTGTGGAGGAATCGTGGTTGGAGGCTTTATCTGGAGAATTTCAGAAATCATATGTCGTTAATCTTTCGAAGTTCGTTGAAACGGAGATTTGCTCTAGTAGAGATGATTCTGTGTATCCTCCTCAGCATTTGATTTTCAATGCTCTTAACACTACTCCTTTTCATTCGGTTAAGGCTGTGATACTTGGCCAGGTTTGTGGATTTTAATTTGTATTTGTTTTTGTTAGTTTTCTACTTTAATGCTGATTTTGAATTTGGTTTTGGTTTTGGTTTATTTTAGGATCCATATCATGGACCTGGTCAAGCAATGGGGCTTTCGTTCTCTGTACCCGAGGGAATCAAAGTTCCATCTAGTTTGGTAAATATATTTAAGGAGCTTAAGCAAGACCTTGGATGTTCGATTCCATCTCAGGGTAATCTTGAAAAATGGGCTGTGCAGGTAACCATTGTTTACTAACTTAATCCTGCAATTTTTGTTGTTCCCTTTTAAGTTTTAAGGTTGTTTCCGCAAATAGGGAATTTGTGTTTTGAGTTGGGTGCTAATATGTCCAAATAACTCTAAAATGATTCAGTTACTTGATGCCTGATCAGTTGAGCTATAAAATGGGTAATTTTTTGGATTGTGTAAAAGCTTCTTAAAAACTGTTGTTGATTGAATGTTTGATTATTTGATATTGATTATTGGAAGAAGTTTATCCAAGCATTTCAACTCATGCTTAAATGTAGTTCTTTAGGCAAAAAAAAGTAATTTTATTGAATGACCTCAGTTTGCTGCAAGAAAGAATGCATAATCAGATGTATTAAAATGAATTTTGGATCTGTAGACTTGTTTACACTTGTTATTAAACAATACTTGCTAACTGAACACATTGTATTTTTTACCGTTGTCTAATGTCTGTCAGATACTCTATCACGGAAACATATTATCTTATACCAAATGACGATGATGACAATGACAACAATGTGTATTCTCAACTTGTATATGATGAAATAAGAACATATGCAAATAACTTAACTTCACAGTTTAAGTGTCGGTTAATTTTATTGAACAGTAAGATGGGCTTCTTAGATAAGTTTATGTCCTAAATTCAGGGGATTTCCCTCTAGCTCCTTGACTCATTTATGCAGATGGCTTAAGTGGTTTTAGTGAATGACTTTAATTAGTAAATGTTTTTTCAAAATATTCTGACCACAATTTTAATTTAATTTCAGGGCGTTCTCTTACTCAATGCTGTTCTCACAGGTTAGAGATGTGAGATTTTTGTGAATTTCTAATCAAGAGTATTCAATACTTATAGGTCATAAACTAATTTTATTTCACTTTTGCGTTATATAGTACGACAGTGACACTCACAATGACTATGTTTGGTGTATTATGCATATTCTATTACTTTGTAACTAGCTTTCAATTTAGTTAGGAAGCACGAAGCAAATTCTCATGCAAAAAAAGGCTGGGAACAATTTACTGATGCTGTTATCAAGACAATCTCGCAGAAGAAAGAAGGGGTTGTGTTTCTGCTGTGGGGAAAGTCTGCTCAGGAGAAACTTAGGTACTTCCATTGTATAACACTATGACAAATCTTAAAAACTAGTTATGGAATCACTGACGTGGTCTTACAATAGTCACCTTGATAGTTTTTCAAAGTCAGCCTAATCGAAGAATTATATAAATTTTGAATAAATGCTTATTTTTGAGAAATAGGGCACAAACAAGTTATTCTGCAAGAGTAAGCGTACATTTTTCCAGAAATTGTTTTTTTAAACTAAATAGGGTTCTTTTTTCTTGTCTAGAAAATAAATTCTTTGAAACTTTTTGATGAGCATGTACATGTCAGGTTAATTGATGTGACCAAACATCACATTCTAAAGGCGGCACATCCTTCTGGTTTATCTGCACACAGAGGCTTCTTTGGCTGCAAGTAAGGTTGCTCTGGCATCAAAATTTATCGTGTTAATATTGCAGTGTAGTAAAAGTATGTTTAACTTTCTGCTTTGTGTATGTATCAAGTAGTTAGGCATTCATGAATCATGACCAATTGACCATGACTTCAGTTTTCTGCAAAATAAGCTCACACTAGTCAGTTGCTATGAACAAATACCGAGTTGTTTGTTTGCATAAAAATCATTTATCAAGGCTTATTGTCACACGGCAATTCTCATTGGAGCCTGCCAGGTTCAATATAAAGATGTTACTGGTAGGCACTTATTTTAAGGTCCGCTAGGTTGAGCAAGTGATATGTTATACTTTTCTCTCTTGAGAGATGCATACATCTTACTCTTTTCCCACCTGTTTTGAGAATTTACTCTAATCTTTGTTAAAAAGGTTAATATAACCTACAATTTAGTCTATTTTAATGCGAATGAGTATCTTGATGTGCTTTCTATATCCCTATGTGACTTTTAGAAGATGCAATCAAACATTTTGTATAATCCAAAAGTTAATAGCAAGGGTGTTCAAAACATCTTTTAGAATCTCAATTGATAGAAGTGTGTTCAAAATTAGTTTCGTTTGACATTGTAAATCATTGAAAAAGGGAAACAGTTTATCTTTTAGTAAATGTCTTTCATAGACCACCTAGAGTTTCTCACTACTGTTTGCACTACATAAAATTTAAATATAAAAACACCTAATCTGTTTTCCTTCTATCAATCTATGCAGTTTCATTCTTACTCTAACGTATTTATTTGACTTTATCTGAACAGGCACTTCTCTCAAACTAATCTACATTTAAAGAAAATGGGGTTAAGTCCCATAGATTGGCAGCTATAATTTATAGGTAGGATTCAAGTGCTTTTTGAGCCTGTTATTCTTGGTGTATAGATAATTATGTTGATTGCAAATCTACCAAGGAAAGAAGTGCTTTTGTTGATAGTTTGGTTCTGTAGTGCCATTACCTTAATATTTTGCAGTACGATCAATACTTTATACTAGTAGCAGTAACATTTGGCATGATGATGTTCTCGGATCCTAAATTGATTTTGTGTACTATGCATGTGCTCTCTCAGTGTCAACTGACAGTATGTTTATGGTGGAGATTTAAAAGGTATCATCAAAGTGTGGTCTTCAACCAAATGTATGGTGATGATTTAAATGGACTATGTCGCATGAGATCCATTTCCTATGTTGGATATATTCTTCAAATGCACTTATTAGCCACATGCTGTCTTAAACAGACATCATTTTAAGAGCATAATTACTATTGTTATTTTCATTATTAGTACTTGGGAGCTACTACGTTCCCAAACAAATTAAAGGTATTGGTATACTTTTTTGTTTAACCAATAACTGATGAAGTGTTTTCAACAGCAACAATGTATGTAAACTACCGTGCTTTCCGAAAGTGATTAGACAGCACAAGTTATAATGAGGTAGTGATGGTTGGTATGATTAGATTTGAGGAATGCTCTTTCTGCCTATAGGGTGTTTCTGTGAAAATTCAAGAATGTCTTTAGCGTTCAGAGATGCATATTTAGATGCACACTTTTTTACACACTATCTAGTCCAAATTGTTGAGATATTTATTATACTATAAAAATTAATTCAGAGATGTATCTTTGTATATACATTAGAGTGAGTTTGAATATACTTATTTGAAACTACCCTTAATTCAATATTCAAAGAGTTTTTTACAAATGCATCTTTGGAATATGTCGTGCTAGGTGAAATTTTTATTTTATTACAAACGGGTGGTTCAGGACGTTGTAACATTTTTATGATATCTTTGAGGAATAGTAAAATGTATTCTACATAACCTTTGAATTCTCAGCTGTTTTTAGTTCAAGTATGGTGAAATGTATCTTCTACTCGTTGTCAATTGAGGGTAAACGATATTGGAGTTCGAGAACTCTTCGATTTCTGAATATCACTATAGAGTATTCAGTTTGGATTTCAAATTGATAAAAAGTATGTTCTCGGAGATCCTAAATTGAAGTGGAGGATTTGCGCCTTTGAAATACACAAATATAAGATGGAGATATGTATTCATTTTGATTTTTGTAAAGAAAACAGAACGAGAGATCCTATTTATATAAGTTTTAGATCAATTTGGAGATATGTATGCATATTTGGACTCGCTTAATTTTTTACATAATAAGGATGTTTATGAAGATGCACATCCATAAAATGTATTGTTTTATTTATTTTACAATTATAATGGGGTTTGTCTAGAGATGTATATATAGACTCACTTAGAGGTTCTCACATAACAAGTAAATTATCCAAAACTAGTATATTTTTGGCAATAGAAAAATTTCTCCAAAAATTTCTCTAAATTCTATAAAATTAAAGTAGAATACACATTATGTATGTCTCAAATTGAATCGAAATTGCATCATCGGCAACATTACATACAAAAACGAGTTATATTGTTTCAAAAAAACTAAAATGTATCAGAACACGTGTGACTATCTAAATCTATTGGAGGATCCTTCTTTTCGCTCAATTTGGTGAACTCTTCCATCATTTCCAAAAAGTGTTCCGACTTAGTTTTAACCTCTTTTGTGAATGTGTTGTCCACTCTAGTGATGTCTTTAGTATATGACATCCCGATTTCAAATAGACATGAACAAAATGTTGTGTTTTGGAAAGCCAGCAAATACACATGATGCGACCAGATGGATTATGAGGTGGTCTATTCCAAAGTGGAAAAAATGTTTTCGAGAAACCGTATCTTTTTAGATCAATACACATCCTATCATAAGAACTTGTTATAAGACGTCCCATTTCTATGAAGCACATCCATTTGCCAAATGCTGTCGAACCACTAACACAAGGAACACAATAATTGAGAATTGCATCGTAATTTTTTTTCCCGTATAGCGATGTGTATGTATAAGCTGATGGAAAACAAATTGACGCTCATCCTCTCCTTTACCGAGCAAACCTGAAACAACCCAAAAATCATAGTTGTCGTCACCTTTAACATTTACAATCCGCTTAATATATTTGTGCATAAAAAGCGACATCTCTTCAATGAATATGATTTTTGGTAATGGTGGTGGAGGAGATAGTTTGCTAATGCAAACACCCTTGAAAACACTTATTTTAGATATTGGAGTCGAAGAATCCAAAAAATGTGAGTCAACATGTTCAAAGTATGAAGAAGATCGTCTCGTAGTGTTGTCACTATGTGTTAGTTTGACCTTTTTAGGGATACCCTTTGTTTTAACCAGTTCTGACGGTGGTCTCAAATACATTATTTCTAGATATACAACTTTTCTCAATTTCTATTTGATGTGCAATTTCACGATGTCACTAATTTTTGAAAATCTATATTGGATTACTTCCCATTCGTTTATATTAGTTATACTTGATGCATCATCCTTCATCATACCATCATCATCAAACCAAAGTATTTTCTAGTGAGTGTAAACTTCATCAATATGTATCGGTTTATCAAGCTTAATTTTCTTTGCAATTATACAAGCACATGGGGGACCATACGTCATCCAAAGTGCACAACCATACTTTGAGCTATCTAAACCTGTTTTATCTGCTCACTTGGCTTTGTGAAAAATAAAATTCAACCGCCTCCGAGATATGTATCAAATCAATTGTGAATAAAGGGAGTTGGCTTTAAATTAGTGTTCTTATACAACAACGCTCCTACTAAAAGATATTTGTATCTCATTGTGTTGGTTTCAAAGCATTTTGTTCACAGCGTCCCAATATCGACAAAAACTACATATATTGTTTCACAATCAATTATTCAGTATAACATAAACAGATTCAACTGTGTTAGTTGTTATATTGGCAAAATATCTAACGTGATCGGTCGAGGCACAAACAATCTTCTCCTTCATGCAAGTTGGATATCTCACACACACAGTCCTAAAATGTATTACAAATTCGACATATAAATCTTTCGTGAAATAGTTTATTATCCCATTCCATGCATTCATTATCTTTTCCAACACCATACAAGGTTTGACTATTTTTCCATATTCATCTTTGATTTCTTTGGTGTCTAATGCAGGTTTTAGTCGACTTCTCACATTTTTGGTTATGTGATACTTACAAAGTAATGCATATGATGTAAGAAATACGATTGCAACTAAATTCATTAGTACGGTATCACGATCAGTGACAATTATATTTGGCATATTTTCTACATTCTTCAACATAGTCTTGCATATTTCCAAAGCCCATGTAACATTTTCCTCTTTTTTTGAATTTCAAAAATACAAAATTAATTGAAAAAGTCACCTCTATAGAAGTAACACTAACAATTTCAAAGAGTGGAAGTCTATACTTGCTTTTTTTGTATGTTGAATCAATTATGAGCACAATAAAATATGTGTTGAACAACTTGATGGAATCAGTATGGCTCCAAAATATATCTCAAACAATGATTTTATCCTCACAAAGTATTTACCTAGAAACATAGTGGTCTTCCTTTAAAAGCTTCAACAGTTGTTCATTTTAGATCTTGGATCTCTTACCACCTTGTTGTTTCGGACATACACATTATATACTTATTTTATATTTGAAACATTTTGAGGTCTTTTCCGTTACAAAGTTGCAAGTATGTTTTTCAACACCACCATGTTTAACTTCATGTCTGAAAGAAGTTTCCTCTCCTTCGGAATAAGGCGACATACAATGCGACGACCGACTAGCTTGTCACTCAAGGAATAATTATACATACCTAAAACCACATTAAATTTCCATAATTGTGTAGACATAAATAATGTTTGTGAGCAATACGTGATAATATTGATTAATAACTAAGATCTGTATAACTGATCAAGAAGATACATGTGAAATAGGTTAATAAAATCTAATTCCAGCAAGCTCATATCTCTGTTAGTTTTCTTATCATTTCCCATTGTTGTATTTTTTTTAACTTACACAACCAAATATATTACCATCACCTCACTTAAAATCACATTAACTGTTGAACGTCAGTAACTGCACTAATTCCCGCGAATACGATAAAAAGAAATACTTACTTTTGATTCTACACATTATTATCTAACTTTGCATTAGGTGAGGTAAAGGAAAACATCATGTTGTAAACTGGAATTTGTGATTGAAATTTTTTTCCACTCAGTGAATCACTATGAAATAAAAATTATGACAATAGTTGATGAGGTTTCTTCAAGAATGGTAGTTCCACTTTTCCATTTCCACAACACAGAGTGTGCTTTGGATTTGTTAAATGTTTGTGTTTGTCGAGTCTCTCTTGATACCACATCAATTCTTTACAATATTGACATTGAATCAAAGGAGCTCCCAAATAAATCAATATATTTTGCATAAATATTGTATTTTTAGAAGTGAATTGGAGACCAAGTTCTTTCTTTCAATGCCTTCGCCTATGTGTTATGATGGATGGTCTTGATATGGTTGGTCCATTCACTTTATATATATATATATATATATATATATATATATATATATATATATATATATATATATATATATATATATATATATATATATATATATATATATATATATATATATATATATATATATATATATATATATATATATATATATATCGTTAAGGAACCAAAATCGGATGCAATTGGTGAACTGAGTATCTTGAGTCGGTGATGCTAATCTCCTATACGAAGGTCCAAGGTGAATCTGCAAGGTTCACACTCCAACGCACAAGTCAGTTCAAGATGAGAATAGTGAAAATGGAGATCAGATCATACACATTGTTTTCTGTGTGGATTGACTTTATACCTTAGGTCACGTGGAGTAGATTTGAGATGAATTGGACCTTGGCTATTTGGGCAGTCGATCTAAAACAGTTGCCT